ATGCTCTAAAAAATTCACCAAAATTCGTTTTTTTAAATATTGTGTCCTTTAATAATTGAATTTATAATTTATTTCAATAACTGGAGGATTAGATGTTACTAGACCGAATAGTCATTGGTATCAAATTTCTTATTTGTATATAGAAAATTTACATAAATATCATCTGAACTTTAAGTATGTGTACTATTATCACTTGAATTTTAATTTTAACTATTAACTATATGAACTTTGTAAAGTGTTACAATTAAATGCTTATGTCTAACACTGTTAAAATTTCCATTAAGTCGTATGTGATAACTAAACTAAACTAATTATTCGGGGACCTCCACAATCCCTTCCAAGTTCCAACACCTTTCTCCCCCACTGCCCAGCAACCCCATCCCCACCATTTGCATAGATAACTACCCTCCCTACTCCATATCTCTCTCTTTAACGAATTCAATGTTAACATGGTTATGCATGCATGCGTTTCTTTTTTGAAAATTTTGTTATGTCCCCAAAGACCTCAATAGATTAGCATGTAAGATCAGGGGTGGATCCACATAGAGGCAAGAGGGGTCAATTGACTCCATGCAAGCATGGAATCCACCATTATAGGCAAATATGTTGACCTCTGCAAATTGCCCACAAACTACTTGATGTAATGCTCCTGACGTCAAAACGACAAAGTTGTATAGATTACTTTATTTTCATTTTCAGCTTTTAAGTAAATATCTTTGTCCTTTTACTTTCATTTATTTTTATATTACTCTATTTACTTAGGTTTACAATGTAAATAAGAAAGTACTCCTCATTTGGATTCAAATAAAAATACTAGAAAATCAAATTCCCACCAAATCCAAATATGGAAAATCGGTTTTAGTGCAAAATACGATTTAGTCTAAAAATGATGGCTCATTAAGTCAGTAAATACTTCATACTAAAATCCCCTCAAGTTTTATTATTTGATGTGTAAGGAATAAAAGCCGCCAAAAATTATCTTGAGAAAGTGATTATTCCGAAAAACCATTTTTCATACTTAGCCAATAGTTTTACATAAAACAACTTTTCATGTATGAATAAAGGGACGTAAGGTCAATCTAGGTAAAAAGCCTTAGATGTTCAATTCACAAAGAGTTTTACAAGAATAACCTAATTCTTACGTATTGAAGAAATATTTGCTTGAATAAGCTCCCCCTAAGACAGTACTCATAAAGGTCCAAAGTTTGAAAGCTAGAGCCCAAAAGAAATGGAGATAAAGCTCTAAATCAAAATGACGACGGACCTAAAAAATGACGTAAATGCCCTAAAATGAACAAGATTGCGCTAAAATTTTGGTTTATTATCACATTCTTAGAGATATTTATAGTTATTGCAGTGTGTGTCTATTTTTTGAAGTTGATGCAGTTTTCTTTGATAATGAACATAAATATTTTGTATGGTTTTATCTATTAACTATGAATTATAATATTATTGTTTCATTTTGATGGGTCTATTTTGTATTGAATTTTTTTTAACCTTTTACACGTTGACCCATGGAATGAAAATTTATGGATCCGCCACTGCATTAGATTACTTAATCACACCCAAACACTATTGTAGGAGCAAATATTTTCGTCTTCAATTATAGCACGCCACATGAAAAAGAATAATATCCCTTAAATTAATTAATTGAATCAATTTATTTGGCCAATTAATTAATAAGGATAATATCTTAATTATAGGATATTATCTTTATTTAATAAGATAATACCATTAATTTAGATAAGAGAGTGAAGATAATACCCCCGGGTGTGGTCTATTTACTCCGGTCTTTTTTTTATAGGAATTGAGGAAGAGAGAGAAGATAGATCAAAGGTTGAAGAATCACAAAGCGAATATTCTCTGACGAAGATTTTTGCACAAACAACTATTGTACAACTAACATATCTATACCTTAAGAGAGCCGCCAAGTTGTTCATCAATATGGTAATGATTTGATCTTATGAATAGAATAGATTTGACACACCAAATCTGGAGATAAAAAACCATAGTTTATTTATGGGGGAAATTGCACCTGTACACAAATAGAGAATTACATAAACTCATATTCTTTTTTAATTCATCATGATTTCCTCTCTTTGGAAGATATATATAGGCGCAGATATGTGGCACCACAAATTTGACACAAGTTTTGACACATTTTTTTTAACTATTAGATTAGGCTATAATGAATGGTTAAGATGAAACAAACTAATTATTTTTCTTTAATATGAAAAGGTGTGAATTTCCCCTATTATCTTCACTTAATTAATAATTTTAATTCTTAATGTTTGCATTAACCAATGACATTTTCTGGTATTTTGAATATTTTACCATTTTCTGCCTTTTACTTTATATATATAGATAATTATTTGTTGAAATTAATTTTAATTAACTAGCTATAATATTTTCTCTCTCTTCATTTACGTTTTCCTAACCTCCTAAAGGCATTAACATTTTCTCTCACATCATCTTCTTCTTTATGCCACTTCTGTTTTTTCTTCTTCTTCCAATCCTTCTTTACGCCTTTGACAATTTCCCTATCACTACCGGCACTAAACAACAAGTAGCTGATCGGTTCATAATTGTATATCATTTTGTACCCTTCTAGCTTATGATTTGGTTATGTTATTGAGTTAAACTTGTGCTTTTAATTCATTTTCTATTTTGATAAGTCCATAATTTCATACACTTGCATGCCTTCTTTACTTAGTGATTTTGCTTAGTTTCTCTTTATTTTGAGTCACTTACCTATGTTTGTGTATTTTGTAGGTTAAGATAGCAAGAGATAACATTTGATGCAATCCATGCATGTTAAGGGCTGATTGGCATATGAGGAATATGAGCTTAAAGACAAACACATTTTGGCTACAACCCCTTTCCAGCCCAATTTCGTAGGTCAACTTCTTGGCCTTGGATCAGCATGCTATGGGGCTCGAATGAGGTGAAGATCTTCATGAAACTTGTTCAAATGGGTGTCTACTACAACATATCCAAATTTCAGCCCAATTGGACATTTGTGGAGTGCTCAGCCCGTCCAACACCCAACCTTGCTCAGCAAGATTTGCAGCTGCCA